ATCTTTAATGTTCAATAATAATTTGTTAACGTGTTTAATTATGCAACACTTCATAAATTATTATAAATATATAATAATTATATTTTTGTCTTTATCTTTATTATCATATATCTCTAAAAGATTAAAAAAAAATACACTGGAATATTTCGTAAACACATATTCTTAGCAAAATTATTTGATACGTACACCTTCGGTTTAATGATAAAAAAAATTGGAGATTATAATTCATGAATTAAAATTTAAATACAAGAACAAGGAAAAAACTTTTAAAAATTAACAAAATTTCTACGAGTATAATGTATAAGTAATATGTATTATATACTGATATCCTATTTATGTATCAGTATCCGTCTCATTCTTTTGTAAACTTTTTTTTCCATTGTGCGATTAGAGTACATATTTAATTACGTATCATTCCAACGATTATAAACGGAAAAAGAAAGCATTTCAGATAAAAATAATCACGCAACATATTTTGTTCAAGAATACTAAAAAAAAAAAAAGATACTGTGATAAAAGGTAATACGATCATAAATAGAACTAGAGAAAAAAGAAAATTTATCAATTATCCGCATTACATAACGAAACACAGATGCTCTAATAACTATGTAACGATCGTTAAAAAATGTATTTAGTACCATAAATTGAGCGAAATAATCATTAAAAGATTTAATTACAAAAAATTCTGTTTGTTATATTGTGTTACATTTAAAAAAGATAAGAGCATATTTGTATTGAAAAGAAAAAGAAATAAATAAAAAAAAGGAAAGCACAAAAGCCTGATATGAAACAAAATGTCAAGAAAAGAGAAAAGCAAGAAAAAAATTTTTTTCATCCGGATAAATAACAGTTTGAACTTTATGGATCTAATTTTGTTGTGTTTAGATATATTGTTTATTTTCTTCAATTCTTTCTTATTGTGAAAAATAGCTTTTTTTCAAGTTATTCAATTATGTACTCTTGTGTCCGAATTTCAGCAAATCTTATGTCACGCATTGATTTGAGGAACGTCAAACAAATAAATGTTAAGACATTTATAACGTTTAGTATACATTACCGGATGTCTCGCTTTCTCGTCGCGTCGATTATTTGTAGCACATTCTTTGATATAAATTCCCGAAATTAATTTTTACCTCGCGTGACACAATGTTGTAAAAAATTGACTCTTAACCTTCTTAATGTCGAATATTACGAGAAACTAAGATCTCTATTCACGTAAAAATCTGCCACTTTAAAAGTTAACCGAAAAGCCATCTGTCATTACGATTGAATACGATGAATATATGCAATAGGAAACGAGAAAAGGGGGGGGGGCGGCGGGGACTCTTTAAAAGCGGTTTTAAATAAAACTACTTTCTTTCGCGCGCGCGATTTTCGAACAAGGGATTCTTGCAATTCGGATTCGTCGAAGCTCGTTGGTGCCGCTGTTGTTGCGCGGATCGACGCCGTTATTGTTACGAGGCGCAAGCAACACGCCAGCTGATAACTCACAAACAAAGAGAGGCGGCAGGCGACCTGCCTCCGCGCAACAGCACTTTCTACCCGAACGTCCACTAGAATGCGCCAGCTGAGATCCCCTCGTCGCGCATACAGGGCGCCCCGTATGTGCGTACGTCTCTCTGCTTGGCGCACACACACACACACGCACGTACATATACATACACACATTATGTACGTCACATATATGTACGTATTACAAATATACATACATTCACGCCCCTGCGTATATTTACGTACGTATACGTATATATACGCCTGACATCCGCCCGATGACATTTGGCACAGGCTACGATGATAAAGGAAGATTTGCGAAGATAAGTGAAAGAAAAGGAGAGAGTCAGATAGAAAGATATTTATAGAGAAAGAAAGAGAGAGAAAAAAGAGAGAACAAGAGAGAGAGAGAGAGAGAGACTGACAACAGTGCCTGTTCACTTTGTTATGTGGACGATCAGTTCTGCCCAGCGCTAGCTCTCTCGCAGGTTTCCCACGGGGACGGAGGGGCGCTCGGCGACGGCGGGGTGGGAGCGGGCTGATCGGACAACGAACAATGCCGAACGCGAGTGGAGAGCGAATGAGCGGCGGCCACGAAGGCGAGAACGGTGATCGTGATGCGCGGCGACTCGAACGATGACGTTAACGGCGATTCACGAACGATTCGGGACGAACGTACGAACGAACGAGCGGACGAGCGAGCTGACACCTCCGCGCTTCGCGAGCATTCGCACGCATTTATCGATGTCAAACGCTCTCTTCGGCGGCAGCAGCGCTCTTTACGGCGATGCGCGCGCTTACGGCCGCAACGATTGGTCGTACGCGGCGGCAAGCGCGTTACGGCGGCCAATCCCGGTCCTCGTAACAAGCGTCGCCGCAAACGTCGCGTGCCGCCACCAACACCCGCCGGCTGTCACGTGAATCTCATGCCCGAAAACAAAACAAACAGCTAGCCGCCCAGCGTCGCCGCTGTCGTCCTCTTCCAGTAGATGGGCCGAGCGGCTGAGAGCTGAGCATTAACGAGCGCAGCTGAACGAAGGCGAACGAAGCCGAATGGACCCGATTCGCTATTTTTGTATGTAAATTTAGATCGGAGACAAGATTGAAATGTCTTTACTTGAAATTATAAAAGAAATCAAAATTATATATAACTGATCTAAGATAAATCGATCTGCATTATATATATAATTTTTGACTGACCTTTTGCTCGGACAATTTTAATATATAACAGAGAAACAAAAACATGATTTTGAAATTTCTCTGAATAAAATAGTTATATCTCAAAATAAGATAAAATGAAAGCCAAAAGATAAAAATGTTCTGATTTAAAAAAATATTTTTAGGGGGACATGCAGTTGAAAAATAAAAGTGCAAATCTTGAAAAAGAATGGAAATATTAAAACAATGAAGAAATATATATAAGTTAATATTAATATTATTATATATATTAATATAAAAAATTTAATGGAATATAACAACTTTTAAATAATCTTTAGAAATTATCAAATAAAATTTTCTATAGCGATATAAAAGAAGAATCTGTCCATGAATATAATTGTCAAATCATATTTTATTATCATTTTATAAAAGTAATTAGTTTATCTTATTAAACTTCTATTTTTCAATAAAGATTATTTAAATCTTTTTTTTCATGATATTATCTCACATTTGCGATACCGGGGTGATACCCAAAATATCCAACGCATTCTCGAGCACAACTTGCAATGCATACAACATATACAATCTTGCAAACATCTTGGAAATCAAATGATCACCTCCTTCCTGCAATTTATAAAATATAATTTGAAGTAGAAAAACACATAAAATATAAAGTATAATTTGGCATATCTAAAAATAAAAAGCGTAAAGTATACAGCTTAATAACTAAATAAACATCATACTTTCAGTTTTTTCTCTTACCGTTAGAATTCTGATTCTTCGATAGTAGATACTGAACTTTTGACATAATCGTGATAAAAATAGGCATAATACCTGTGGATAAATACAAAAATTCGCCTCACATTTTAAACAATCATTTATCATTTGTGGATATCCAAAGATAAAATTATATATGAGCTCCCATTCGTCCTGCAGACAAATCAAATTTTCTTTATAAAGTTAATAAGTTTGGATGTGATTAATAAATTAATCAGCTGACAGAAAATCTTTAAGATATAAAAATATCAAACTAAGATTATACAAAGAGAAAATTTTTGAAGTTAAATTATTAGGTACTGCAAAATTGTAAAAGTAAAGAGTAAACTGTTGAGAAATTCTCTCCATACCTCTTCATGTAATTGTGAGAAATCTACATTTTCGATATTTGGCAAACTGGGATAATTTCCACACGACACTTTTTCATTGTACTTCATTATAATTGTTGCTATTCTAGCAGTGTTGTATAACACAAATGAGGCACCTACAATATTTACATAATTTTTAATTGATAATGTACAAGAATTCTTATTCATTGTTTGTCATAAATATTTACCAAATAAAATTGAAAATAAGATTATACTGTTTCAAAGTAATTATTGCTAAATTATTTTTATAATCATAGAGGTTCAAATACAAAATATGTGTAGCATGATAATTAAACAAATTTAAGATTTAGAAAAGATTAAGAAGTAAAAATCTTGGAAAGATTAATTACAATTAATTTAAAAAATTTAATTTATTAAAAATCAATAATTTATTAATATTAAAGACATATAACCTCTATTATTTGTAATGCTTTTATTGTCTTGCAAATTATTATTTCCGATAACAACTGATCGACTAGGTTTCACAGCCATTAATTCAAAGGTGACAATGGCATTGGCTAAGTTATGCAAAAAGAAATCTTTCTTTGTATTATTTCTTTCGTTCTCGATAAGCTTATGTTCACTCAATTCTGCCAATTGGTCCATTTTGCATTTTATATATTGCTCCCATGTAAGACATATCTCTTTCGAATTTGTTTGGTAATTCTTTACAACACCACAGACGTATTTCTCATATCCCTTATCAACCAATCCTTCCGATCTGCTAGTGAACATGTATTTGTCAGCACAATTTTCATCAGGGGATAATGTGTATCCATGTAGACTTAATGCCTTTGCAGCAATATTTTTTATTAGACGCAGCCTGTGAGAAGTGAGATCCGATTGTGTATCAGGCTGATACCTCAAATTAAATGTTTTACCAATCGACTTAGTCCTTCCAAACGTCCTCCCATGTTTGACAGCTATCCTTATACTATTTACAATGACATCTTCTCGATTTAAGAACAAGCAGACCCTTTCTCTTTGCAACATACATTGTTGTATTTTTATTGGCCAGTTGCTACTCTTCAATATTAACTGTTTGAAGATCTGCTGCAATTTACAGATTTTGTAGTTACAAAGATATAGTATTTGATTATTAGATGTAATTGTAAGAATGTTACTCACAAAATAAACTTTTAGAATTTCAACAACATTTCATAAGCAACAATAAAAAAAATTAAAAAATAATAAAAAAAGACCTATCAAATTTATTTGTTTTAGTCATGCATTCTTTGCGATTTGTTTCTTTTCTCTATATATTTTTCGAACGTAAAAATATACATGTATTATATTTTAAATGTACAAGATATATATAAAAAAATGCAACTAAAACGAACATATTTTTAGGTAAAGTTAAATAAGGTTAGTTTTAACATATAAACAATCAATATTCAAAATATTTATTTACCTCCTCAGTCACATCTGCGCCTATATTATCTTTTGTCATACCGTGTATGTGTACGAAGTGTTGCAAAATACTTGTGCAATTCTTGGCGCATGTTGATGAGATACTCTTCCACGCTTTGAAGTTACACAAAAAATATAGCTCTCCATTTGCGGACAAATTTTCGCTATTTATTTTGATTATTGAAGAATTTTTATGTTTGTCACCAGCTAAATGAAAGATAATGTTATCGATAATAGATTTGGCACAAAAATCCGTCCAGCTTTCCATTGCTTTCCATCGAGAATTCTAATGCTGAATCAGCTGATCAATAACAATGACAGCAAGTGACAGCGAGTAACAGTTTCTGTCGTAGTAATTTGTTTGTTTTTACACGGTACTATGTCATACTTTCTGCGTTTAGGATAAAATAAATACAGATAAACAAATTAGAGGAAAAGAGTATTAAAAAAATGCAAATAAATGAATAGTCCTTGCTTAATTCAGCTGATTTTTCTGCAACTAAAACGAAATACATAGGTTAGAATCATACTTTGGAAAAAGAAAAGGAAATATTAATAGTAAAACAAAAAGAAATATCTTGTGTGTTATATTTTAAAAAGACGCTATTCTATCTTGATCCACTTATTCTTTAGTTATGTTTTCTTGTGTAATCATTTTAAACAAGAAATATATATATATATATATATATACATGCTTTTGTGATAAGAAAATACAAACATTTGCATTATAATAAATAAAATACTTTATGCATCAATAATTTTTCTTCTGTTTGTGCAAAAATGTCTTATAAAAATATAAAAATTATGTAAAAACATAACAACACTGTTACAATTCAATAATTCTGTAGTAAATATTTTGTACATTTTAACAGATTAATATGGATATTATAGAAATTTGTTAATTAGGTTGTTAAAATAAAACAATCATAGGGTATCACACTCTTTGTAATAATAGTTTAATTAAACATATTTGCATCATACTTAATTATAGATTTGTGTATCTTACAAAGTATCACAAAAAGGATTTGCTACTTAAAATACAATACAAGTAATTATATGTCTTCAATATATATTAACATCTATAATTTACTTAATTGTTACATTGTTCTATTCAACAAAGTTTGTTAAATAGAATGATGATATTTAACATATGCTATGGCTGCGAGATCTTTGCAAAATTCTTCTGTTACTATGGCGCTTTCATATAAAATATTTTCCTTCTCTCTGAAATATAAATATCAGAATAAGAAGAAATAGTTTATGCATAGTACAAGAAACTAATTTATTTTAATAGCGCAAGAAATAAAAAATATTTTCCAGGTACTAAGCTTCTCATAAGTAGGAATCAGTGAGAAAAATTTTATTTTTTACTTAATTTCAAAATAGAAGTTATTTTGATTACGGAAATATTTAAAATATTGGCTATTTACAAATTAAATCCAACTTACTCTTCTTGAGAACAATCATTCAGCAATTTCAACCTCGTCTCTTTCAGCATTGTCTTACTCTCTGCAGTTTTCGGTATTTCGCTGACAAGTTGCTTGACAATTTTCTGTAAGCACAAGAACAGACTCTTTGTGCCAGGTATTAGAGGTAGCAGTGGATTCAGCAAAAATTCGTGCAGGTACGGATGCGGCAGTAACGCCAATCTAGAAATCAATCCTGTAACCTCTAGATTGACTTCGTATGTCTGCCTTGGCATGTTGCTAACTTTATCAAAGAGCATGCTCAGGAATGGTCCCATGTAGAATCGACCTGAGCAATGGTCGGCTTCCGGTCGCGAGTCGAAACTTGCGGAATCATCCACCATTACTGCCTCCAATGGCCATGCCATCAGAGCGCAATCGGAAAGTACCGAAGAGTACTGCCGTTCCCAAGCTGGCATGTATTTTTCGTAATTGTTAACATCGGGGTCTGTTTGCAAGTAACGCGGTATCAATGACAGGAAACTAAAATAAAAGTCGAATCTGTAGACTTTGAGTTATTTATATTTCTTAATATTTAATATGTCATTTTTAATACATTATACTCTTACCAGTTGATAACTCGATGGATATTACTTGGTGCTAAGGTACGACTGTGATTTTGCTCATAGGAGAGATCTAAAAACCCCTTTTTTTCCTTCTCTCTTTCGTCTTCCTCGTCGCTCCATGAGGCGATGGCGCTATCCGCGGCGGTGTTATCATAATATGCTCGCGTTGATAGATAAACTAGCATGAGACAATGCAGAATGTGCTCGCTTCTCTTATCTATCGCCTCTTCAAACAATTTCAATGTCTCCACTGTTAGATCATTACTATCCGTGAAGCAGTTCTCTATCAGTCTGTGTAATACTGGCGACGTCCACACATTTGGTATTTCCGGATCCCTGTCTTGCCCGACCAACCAATAACTCACCTCTGAAAAATCATTAAAACTTCAGAGATAGGATAAATCGACAAGATTTCCAAAAATTTCGATATCAGATTAGGAAACATAGTTGTAGATTGCACTATCTTCTAAAAAAGTTTCAAAAAATTAAGACTGCCTGCACACTCTACTGTACAACCATTTTGTATTACAATTTATGTTTCTAGATTATTCTGCACATACCTGTGCACAATATAGAGGATGTTATCTCTTTCAAACATTTAGTGACTAGAGCTGTGATAAGTACGACATGATGATCGACTAGAGCGGGCATTACTATTCTCTCTAGAAACATTACTCTGATGGTCCTCGCCAGTGTTTCAGCGAATTCTGTTTGGGCTTCTCTGATTAATTGATCGCAGTAATCGAACCACATGAAGAATGCGGCAACTTGCCGACAACCGGGAAATTTTTTCTCTTTAGTCCACAACGGCGAGTCCAGACCCCACGTAACATCCACGTTGTAGATATCCAAGTGATCTACGTGCGCCGGGATAGCATTGAATAGGTTTTCCAGGCGAATTGTCACTATCGACGGCAGCTCGCTCCTGGCCACCGTTTGCGCGAATGAAGGATCGTCTAGGGAAGCCAGGACCATTATTCCCTCGCACGCTCGTATTCTCACGGTGTTGTCCTGAAAATAAAGAAACGGCAAAAGCACGATCAATTATTACGTATGATACAAATTTGTAGTTAGCTATAATTAAATTATCAATTATTATATCGTTAATCAAAAGATCAACAGTATATTGTTTACCGCGCTATTTAAGTAGCTCATTAGGGCGTCCAATAGAAGACACTTTGACTTTTCTGGCCTATGTGGTGATTTCAAACTTTGATTATCAGCCGCTACATAACTTGCGTCATCATAAACATTGCAATCGGTGTCTAATCGCAAGTCCCTCAAGTTTTGTAAATGTTCGTCAATTTTATTTGCCGAAAAATCTTCTTGTCTCTTTTCTTTCCACTGTTCATTGCTCTTCGTATCTATCGAAGGCGAATCGCAAACAGATTTTTGAGCCAGCGGGCTCGATGACACACTCTCCTCCCTCGAGGAGATAGATTCGTTCGATCTTCTCGACGAGCCCTGCGATGACGCGGTTCTCTTGAAAGACCTATTTGAACGCAGTAATCTTCTCTGTTCTTTGTCAAAGAGATTCGGATTGATCAATGTGACTGCTTGGGTATCCAAAGGCTCGAACAAGGGATTAGAATTATTCCTTTTTCTTGTCGGGACGTAGGTCACCTTCTGTATTTCTGTCTTCTCATCGTTATCTTTCTTGGCGGGTTTGCTCGTTGTCTGCACAATCGGGGCATCATTGATGATGCTGGTCACATGAGGATATTTGCATACCAGAAAGCAGATTGTGAGCAGAAACTGCACCTAGAAATGAAAACAATTTTTTTTAGAATTACATCTTTGCAATTAAGCGATAAGTATAGTTTTTTTTATAAAAGATATAAATATTAAAAAGACCCCAAAATCGATTCCACATAAGATATCATTACACGCTAATATGACAGGGATGTCACGTATATATTAGTTCATTAAGAATAAACTATTTTGCTTTAGTAACATAAACACTCATCTTTTTATATACAAATTTATCCAACTAAATTTTTTTTTTATTGTCTCATTTTAATTTTAAGATATTTTTTATTCTATCGATAAACTTTGCTGTAATAAGCGATTACATATACAGCAAAAAAATGTTTTAATCGCTGTTACATTAAATATTGCAGTAATAATGTTGCTTTGACAGCGAAATTCTTTTGCTATGTATGTGTATATATATATATATATACACGTGAGTATACATATATCAAGACATTTTGAACTCAATCGGTGGCGCGATATCGAGCATGAACCGAAGGTAGACGAAGTTAGTCGAAGCGCAATGTTCTGTAGTTGACGTTCGTTATTTTCGATTTTCCCCATCTATAAAAAACTTTTTTCCTCATAAATAAGATAATAATTAAATTATGATTTCAGACTGATTGAAAAGCCGGCGATCTACCGTAGAATACAATTGAAAAGTGCGAAAACAATACGTATATATATGAATGTCTGGAATGATATTTCGAAATTGCCGAGTGTCTCGACCAATGGCGCGAAACCGGATGCAGCCGAGGAGGGACGGGATTAGCCGAGGGCGCATTCGAAGCGAGTCGTTTCACATTTCACATGCGTGCGAACGTAGCGCGTGTAAATTCGTGATTTTCGCGCGTGTGCATAGGAAGAAAACTTGGAAAACTCTACCTCGAGACTGTTCCCGGGCCACCCCTCAACACGAGACATTGGTGAGAAGTCGAAGTAAGATGTATGCACGAGTGCATCGTGATATTTTGAAATCGCGAGTTAACTCCGTCATTAGCGAAAAGCCAAGTACAACTGAAGGAAAGTGAAGTTTGTCGAAGACGCGAATTTCGCGCCAGTTAACGCGGTGTTTGAAATCACAAATTTTGCGAGTGTACAGTTCGGGAGTGCGTGAGACTATTGAGGAAAGAGCGATCTGTGAATTAAGGAAGATCTTTCTGCGGAGATAGACGAGAAAGATTACTGATAACCGTCTGACAGGGCCACAATACGTGATCCAGTGGAATGCTTGCGGCAGATCACGTAAGTAGATGTGTAAAAATTTTTCAGATTAATTGTAAATGAATGTGTGGTCTGCATACAAACTATTTACAGCCTAAATTACTCTAGATCATCAGTCTAGATGTATATAAATTGGATATTGCATTGTTTTCATTACTTTGATTTCAATCTCTCTATACATTTTAAATATTTATATAATATGTAAAATTAAAAAAATAGTAAGCGAATTTTAATAAATTTATTAGCTGATAAACGAATAAACATATACTTGTGGAAAATAATCATTATATAATTTTAAAAATATATGAGAGAAGGACTATAATAAAAAATAATAATAATAAATATTTGGAAAAATTATGTAAATTCAAACAATGAAAATTTTTCTATGATAGTTTTTGATTCAAAATTTATATAATTTGTTTAATGAAATTTCACGATTTATGAAGTTCATTTTTATAATGAAATTAACATAAAAATAAAATGTAAAAATATTTTGCAAGATTTCTTTTGTAAGCTAT